GTCCCACATGCCTACAAATATGGTCAAGCATCCTCATATCAAGTTTCAAGGCTTTCAACACAAGATTGCACAGTCAAAACCCTAATTGCACTACAGTCAACTGTAGGGGCAAAATGGTCATTTGACAGTCAAAAGTTCAAATTTTTGGTCAACATATCATTTTGAAGCCACAAACATCATTTGATCAATGCTTGATCATGATTCTCAAAGCTTGGCTCAAAAATCATCAAGATGCAAAAGTTTCCTTATTTGGACAGCTGAAAAAGTCAATTGTAAATTGACCAGGGCATAACTTTCACATGGATTATCAGAAAAATTCCATCCAAAGATCATTTTGAAGAGAAATACATTTCCTACAACTCATCTTCATACTTCAAGTCCAAGAAATGCTCTCACAAAAAGTTATCAATTTCAACATTATAGGTCATTTTCAAAAGTCAACAAAAAGGGACTTTAAGTCAAAGGCCATAACTTGAGATTGGTAAATCAAAATGACATGGGACCAAAGGCATTGGTTAGAGGACTCAAAGACCTTTCCAAAATGTCCAAAAACATGAGCAAAGCTTAAAAATTGAGCAAGTTATGCCTTGTGGAAGTTGGGAAATTTTGGATATTTTGAAAAGTCAACATTGGTTCAAATGACCTAAAATTGCTAATGGGCCCATTTTTCTTCCACAATTCATCATCCCAAGCATGTGCACGACCACTTGGCCCAAAGGGAAGTATTTCTTCATTTTTTATTTATTTATTTGAATTTTTATTAATAATAATTCATTTAAATCAAATTAAATACATGAAAAATATTTAACCTAAGTTTTACAATCTTTTTGTGCATGAAATCTACTCAATAATTCGTGTACAATTAAATAGGGAAAGATTTGGATTGATTGGATCATGATTGGTACAAAATTGCATGAAAAAGATTGAAAAAATAATGATTGAAAATCAAATCTCATAAACCATGAATACAAGAGATTTTGATCAAGTTTGTTGACCTAATTGGTTCATTACATAAGCCTGAACACAAACCTAATCCTAGAGACCATTGAGCTGCGCTAGAAACCAATTCACAAACTTGAAATTTTTGCAAAGAAACTCAAAACTGAAAACCTCATTCTAGGGCGATTCAAGGCACGATTTTTGTTTCATTAGCTTGCTGAAGCTTCATAGAACGATTCCCAATCAAAAACACTCATCAAAACCTCAAGAATCGGTATACAGAATTCAAAATATTTCATGAAAAATGCATATTCGTGTTTTGATTTGCAGGCATCCTCATGACATTTTGTTCATTGGTTCATACTCCTTATGCAATTCTGAAGCTAACCCATATGTTTAATTGCATTTTTATACATTATACGCGATTATGCCATTGTTGTTCATTAGGGTTTACAGGATTTCAAATTAGGGGTTTTAACATGAGGCAAAATTGGGACACCACGTTACCATGGTCATGATCAGCGCATTTGGACGAAGAAGAAGCTACCCTCGCGCTCAATTTATGAGCATCCTAGAGCTAGTCGCTATTTTCCCAAAACCTGCCTAAGAAAACGCTCAGAAAACCGTGGCCTATGTTTTTGTGTTTCAGGGACGAAGAAGAAGACGATATCGTGGCGTTAGATGGTTGGCCGGTTTAAATTTCGCGCGGAAAACGAAACACTAACATATATTTATTTTATTATATTTGTTTATCATATTAATTACAGAAAAGCAAACTGGCACGGTTGGCAAGCATAGTGGTTGGTAAAGTACATGACCTGGGTTCGAGCCCCAGGTCTTCACTCTCTCCATTTGTTTTTTTTCAATTAACATTCACATGTAGTGCCCATGCTGAAGCGCACCATACACTTCCAAATCAAGCTTGCCACGTCCATCTCAAGATCAATCAGAAGGCCATGGATTGGAGAACACAATGCACCCTGGTCAGCGCACATACACGTGTCCAGCAAAAGTCCAAACAGGCTAAGGTTATTGGGCCAGATTTCTCAAGATTAACCTCCACTTTGGGGTCTGAACCCCCTAGGTTTGCATTTTCACATTCTTTCTTTTTTTGTTTTCTTTTCTTTCTTTCTTTTAATTATTATTTGTTTAATCAATTAATTATTTTCATAAAACACAAAAAAACATAAAAAAATCAGAAAAAGAAAAAATAATAATAATAATAAATATTTTTTTATTTTAATATTTCTTGTAAATAAATTTGCATGTAAATTAATTAGTTTTAAATTAGGGTTTAACTTAATATTTTCATAACAAAAATCTAAAAAATGTAGAAATAGGGTTTAATTAATAATTTTTCATCCTTTTTATTTTTCTTCCATAATAATTAAATAATTAAATATTTATTTTTTATAATTAAATTTGTATATAAAAATTAGGGTTAATTTAGGTTAAAATTCAATGTTTTCTTAATAAATTAAAAGCCATTAGAATTAGGGTTAGTATTTATTTTAATTAATTCTTTTTTTATATTAAATCTTAAAAATTAAAAAATACCGAAAACATTTCTTTTTCTTAATTAATTAATTCCATGTAATTTTAATTTTGCAAAAAAGGGTCCAACGCCCTCGTTTCGATTTAATTCTTATGCGCATATTTATTTTATTTCTTTATAATATTTATGTATCTCTCCCAAGGCCATGTAACCTTTTAATTTGCTCGCACTTTTAATTTCTTTATTTTCGTTAATTCTTTATTTTTCTGTCAAATCGGGTCCTGGTTTAATTTTGGCGATGTGGACCCGCGCCTTTTGTAATAGCTTAGAGTTTTTACTTTCCCGCAATATTTTTAACTGTTAACAAATGGCATGAAAGAATGTATGGACCAAAATAAAAACAAGCGTAGAACACCAATAACATGACAAGATAAATGCAAATGAAAACGACACACAAATCGCACACACCACCCCTAGGGTACGCCTCACTGTTGCCTTGCCTCGAAAGGTGATCGTCGAGTAGAGGATGTCTTAGTAAGTCCTCATGATCCGGGAACCTGGCATGAGGGTAGCTTCTAAGGTGTCTTCCTATTGCTCTGGTGATCACCATGTCCCGAACTTCGAATTGACCCGAACACCTCCAACGGTGGTGCTACCTACCTCTCAATGGTGGGATGGCACTACTTTAAAGGACATTTACACAGACGAATTCCTTAGGGTAGGTAGGTTCTCGTAGATACTTGCTCTAATTTCAAAACAAATTCAAAAATACTTTTCACACCAACACATTTTCAAAAGCTTTCGAAAGCAATTTTTCAAACACTCTTGAGGACCGATACAAGAGTCGAACTGAAAATTTTCAAAGAAACTTTTTAAAACCCACATTGAAAAGGAAACAAACCAATTTTGAAAACACAATGAGCAAGTATCTAAGAGCCCATGGATAACCATGGATAGAAAGGGTGCTAACACCTTCCCTTTCTATAATCTACCTCCCGAACCGAGAACAATCTCTATAAGGAATTTTTCTGTGCTCTTGTCCTTTCCATTTGGAGAAAATAAAAGACGGTGGCGACTCTTGCTTCCGCGACATTTCGCGAACCAGCGTTAAACAATCAGTTCCAGATCCACCGATCACAGGTACTGTCGCCATGACTTTTGTTTATGTCTTGATTTTTTTTTCTTCTATTATATATATTTTTTATTTAAATTATTATCTATGTAAAAAATTTTAAATATAGTTTTTTTTGTGTTATTTTTTTCTTTAAATTATTTCTTCTTTAATATATTTATTTATAGTATTATTTTTTGTTTTATTTTCTATCACTTTGTAATATAGTAAAAATAATTTCAATAAAAAATATTTAACATCAAATAAGCATTATAATATCCAAAAAAATGTGTGTTTCATAATCATGTAAAATGCGAGTTCCATAATCATGTCAAGTAGTACAAAAAACCCAAAATATATCAATTCCTAATCTTATAATAATAAGTATCATTATGCCAAAAATACATGAGAAAGTTCACAATCTAATTATCTCGATCATAGCAAAGTCTAATTTGTCCCCCCTGAAGTTCCATTATCTCCAATACGGTAGCTAGACTCAAATGAACGTCTACCATCAGCGGGTGATTCCAATCCCTAAAAAAAGGTATTAAAATAATAATCTTTAAAATAATACTCATAAAATTTAACTTTAAATGCGTCAAAATAATATACCTGTCTTCCACTAAAATTCTGCATTTGCATTAAGAGTTCAATTTCCTTTGTACTCGCCTTGTCCCTTTGCGTTAAGAATATGATTGCTTGTGTTAATTCATCAATTTTTGAATTCTTTTCTTTAAGTGCATTAATTTCTTCTTGCATTTCCTTTATTTGTTCACTTTTTGCAGAAGAAGATGTCGATCTCGTAGATCTATTAATTTGAGATGGTGTAACTCCAAGTCCCATACTACGAACATATCCATGCTTTTCTTTTCCAAATACTTTCTGAAATGCCTCATTTTCAGACACAGAATCCTTAATTGCAGCTTGTAATTTTTTCTGCACATGAAAAAGAAAAAATTGAGCTATTGTTTATATAACAAGAATAATATATTGGGGGAGAACCTCTTGATCAAATCATGGACTTCCATATATACGTAAAAAGAAGTTGGCACAAACTAGGAGGTGGCACAAAGTATTGCAAATGTGACATGGAGAATTGTTTACAAGAAGTTTAGTAAAGCTTGCTATCCACCATTCTTCAGTATAAACAAAATCACTCTAGGATATTTATTCTGAAATTTCCCACTAAAGTTACCCCACAGTTTTCAATGTTTCAAATATATGTCAAATGCAGCATAGGTGATTTTTCCATTACAACTTACGCTTCTAATCTATGCAGGTATGATGCCTCTTATTTCCTGTGTTCTACTGGTTGGTCTCTTTATTTTGCAACACCGTGGCTCCCACGCGATTGCTTTCATGTTTCCTCCCATAATCATCCTATGGTTACTATCTATTGGAAGTATAAATGGTTAAAGTATTGGATAATGTAAATGCAATTCACCAAAGAAAAACTCACCTGCAAAATGCATCCAACTGTGCTAGTAGAAGTTTATTAGACAAGTTTGATGATTCCCCTACATCTTTTGATGTGTTATAAAATGTAAGCTCTGGACCAACAGCCTGCAAACAGATATTCTGGCTAAGACATTAAAATAGAAAAAAGACAAACAAGATACTTGTAAGTGAGAACCGTTACTTGTTGTGGTAATTGTCTTTGTTGAAAATTTCATATCAAAAGGACAATATATTTTACTGCATAAAAATAAAATATGCAAGAAGCAAAATGTCACGACATGATCCTGCACTTGGGTGAGTGAGGTTTCAAGGGTATACTCAAGGAGAAAAAAAACTGTTAGGGTTAGTGGGTCAGTTTTAAGCGGTTATAGAAGGAATGATATGTAATTAATTTCTGTAAAAAAGATGATAGATAATTAAAATGTTGAAATAATAATAGGAAAGCAACTTTTGGGAAAATGAATAAAATCAATATTTTCATAGTAGGATTAGAGAAAACCACTTGTAAGAGGACTCCAAACCAATATATGTGAGAAGGAAACTCTGTTCAGAGATTTATTCCTTAAACTCCCTTTTCTTTGTCACCATAGGATTTATACTTGTTTGTTTCAGCTGATGGCAGATCTTTTACTTTGATAATAGATTTTCCCTTGGTCTATTTATCATTGTTTTCTTCAAACGGGTGGGTTCTATTGGATTGATTTTACTATTAGGAATTTATCACTTAAGAAATAGCTACAATACTACAAATGATTAGCGAAACAATAGAATGAACTGAGTTTAGGGGTGTAGATGAACTAAAATTACAAATATTACAATGTTAGGATGCATAAGAAGTTAGTGTAAAGGAAAAAATAGGAGTCCGAGTTGGAAATAGAACCATATTAATATTCCACACTTCCAAGTAGTTTTTGGTAATTAGTATTGACAGTTATAGCTATTGTAGTCAGGCTGTGAACTAGAGAATATCACACGTGCACTTAATGAAGTATCAATGCTATTAATCTCCTTGTAAATATAAATTGTGTTTATTATTGAGGGTATATAGAAGAACAGCTGAGAGCAACTTACTAAATTCCAAGTATTCACATTAAGAATACAACTAATAAAAAGAAAATTGGAATAGCACTCATTCTAAAAAATATTTGACTCTTGTATTGAGTGATTTGGAAATGAGTGGGGAATTACCCGTAGAACCTTAGTAAGAAGGGTTGACGGAATGAAAAGTAGTCCATCCAATAGTTAGTCTGAGAGTTTTTGGTTGGGACTAAATCATCCCTTCATACCCAACACGGTGAAAGGGTTGTAGGCTGCAACAATTAGGTGGCTAAGGGGAGAGTGCAACGAAGGCGAAATTTCCAACACACCCCTCTTTGGGGCCAATCCTGAAGTGTGGACGATGCAGGAAATCCAACAACATATTTAGAATAGACTCTACCATCTTAGAAATTGAATTGAGTTTAACTCAACCTTTTAAAACCAGCTTGTAAGATGTAGATTGTCCCTACTTATAAACATATATTCAAGTCATCTTTCATTGTGGTAAACCATGATGTGGTATTATCTATGTATTCACTCAGACCTCGTGATAAATGGTATGAAAGGGTGAAATTCCAACAGTTTGCTAAAAGTGGTTGTTTATATGAATGTCGCTAACAACAATTCACAACTCCAAGCAAAAGTACACTTACACAACTCTCCCATCATTACAATCAACCACACATTCAATAATTCGCAAGTGTATAAATATTTAACTTTATCAACACTTAACCTGAAGCTCAACGATAACCTCCGCAGAGCTATTAGCTGCATTATTCTGGGATGGTCCTTCATGCACGCTACCTCTCGGAGATATTGCCTGAGGACTTTCAACTGATTGTTCCAAATAGACATGGTCATCATTTAAAGCTGAATAACTACTATTTTCCCCAAGAAAAACACAAGAATCCAAGTGCTGTCCACCCTGCAAACAGATAACCAGGGAAATTAGTTTGGGCATGCATCGAAATCTTAAATTCATAGAGTAGTCAGAGAACAAAATGGATAAAGTGAGGCACTGAAACCTTAATAACAACATTTCTAAATTTCAATTTTTTCCCATTTCCAATATAGATTATAGCCTCTGAGCTAGCTGATGTAAGATTCAAACCCCGCCCATCTTTTAAATATAAAATTCCACCATCCCCATCATAAATGAAATGATCAAAATTTTCATCATCAACTATTAAAGGCTTTTGAGGTGAGAGGGAAAATTCAACACAAGGTTGCTTGTAGATAGACTGATCTATGATGATTGCATTCAGCATGGAGGAATTGTGTTCTTCAAATGATAGCATACTGCTGACTGTTGGAACAAAAAACTCAACTACAACAAGAAGAAAATCTAGTGCAACAAGTAACTGAGGTCTCTGGATACACACAGAAACAAATGTTGAATCCGGACCAAATTTCATATCAACAATGAGCATTGTTTGAACTGGTTCAAAATTATTCCCTTTACTTGAGCTACTATCAATTGACTCCTGATTTTCATAATACGACAGTGTACTTGGAGGACTGGCTCCAATGCTCTCAGGCTTTCCTATTGCTAACCGAAATCCTTGTTCAACTCCTTCCTGGTCACCAAAAACACTGAAACCTTGTAGTGTTGCAGAAAGGAATCCATTTCCTGCTGTACTGGATTTGTACAGTAGCCATGCACTGCTGACCTGCACAAGAGAAACAAGAGTAGAACAATTCAATAGTTAATTGTACTATCATCCTTCATCATTTGATTGCGGGTATGGGGCAGGTTAAAGTATTGGATAATGTAAATGCATCCATAGTTGCTTTAATCAAAATAGTATAAGTTATAACATTTGGCCTACAATTATCTTTCAACAAGTGATCCATAACCCTTAAAGAGTAACGGTATGCATACGGAGATGTGAGAGGGTATGGGGATTATCTAATTCATTTGTATCGACTGCAGAGGCTTTGGATGCAATAGTTCTGCAGCCGCTACAGAAGTTCCAAATCCTAAGGAAAAAACAAAATGACTCGGTATAAATCATAATAATATACACAAATTTATGCATAACAAATCACAACCCCGGCAAAAAAATTTCTTTAAAACAACTTATATAGTTGCAAAAGCATGCAGCAAAACAGGAGATTTTTAAATTGGATCACATGTGATAAGATTAATCTAATACATTATTCATACACAACAAAGAAAACTGCCAATTTGGTGTTTCAACTGCTAGGTTCCTTTCTATACTAATGTTGTTGCTGAATCTATGGGGGTAAAGAAAAGCGAAAAACAATTGAGAGACTCATCTTGAGGAAGGGTATGCATCTTGATTCGTATCGCACACATCATCACTTGGGCTCTTTCAGAAAATGTAGCTTGATAAGTGCTGGAAGTTCTGCTAACTCAACCCGAGGTTTCCCGAGTAAAATACCTTTTAACTTCTCATCACAGTTTACCATGTTCTTGTTATTTGGATCCTGCACAAGCAAGGAAACAACCAATTCTAATCACTGATTCAAAGTTTAAATTCTCCAATCCTGAAAACAGAACAATAACAACAATTACTTTGATGTGAATCAATTTTCATGAGTTGAAAAAACAAAGCAGAACCTGAAGATTGTTGGTTTTGACGTAGGACCAAACACGCATGAAACAGGTTAATCGAGAAGTCTGAGATTGACCGACGAAGTCTCTGAGAGTGGGAGGAAGGTTAACGAGATCGATCAAGTTTGCGAGCTTTTTAGGGTTATCAGTAACGACTTTCTTCATTCGCTGAGGAAGCATTCTTCACTTCAATACACGATTTGTAATGGCTGCGAGATGGGTTTATCAAAATTCTAATTTCAGAGGAAATGTGAAACTCAATTTGTGTTTAGTTAGGATTAGGTATAAATTTAATAATAACATTGTGTTTCAACTATATATGTGAATATTATGTCAAGCTCTATGTATATACTTTAGCTCATGATAAATGATTATTTAGGTATAAACTTAAAATCATTTTTCAACATCAATTAAATCCACATATCATGTTATAAAAGTTATGTCTTTCGAGGCATAACCATAAGTTACCCTTGGTCTAGTCCTATCAGACCGTCTCGACATCTCATAGATCCTCCTCAAGCATAATACAAATATACCAAGCATTGAGAAAAAGATGAAAGATTAAATTTATTTGATTGATTAAATTGAACATAACACCATTGTCGTATCAAATTCATAGAATATATAATAATGCATAAACTTAACCTTAACAAGAGAGAACTTAAATATACATAACAATTATAATTAGATAAAATATATAAGTTAGCAAGAGATTTTTAAAGGTTTTGGGTGCGACGGTTGTTTTACCGTCGTGAAATTAATTTTAGGACGGATAATTTTACCGTCGTGAAAGGTTTAAGGGTGCGACGGGTGCTTTACCGTCGTGATATGCCTTTTAGGACGGTTAATTTTACCGTCGTGACTAGTTGTTGGTGAAAAATCAATGTTAAAAGTGTTAAATGGGGGCCGACGGTTGTTTTACCGTCGTAATAATAATATTATGATGGTTAAATATACCGTCGCAAAATAAATATTAGGGACGGTTGGTGTCAACTGTCGTAAACACTGTCTCTATATGTCAATTACGACAGTTATCACATAACTGTCGCAATTTTTGTGTCGTTAAACACTAATTTTCTTGTAGTGACTGAATAACTCAAACTCATAAAATAGAGGATGATATCTCGTCTATAAATGAATCATATCTAATCTTGGAAAAAAGTTTTAAAAGAGAAACGTTGCACAAGCACACAAAATGTTTTGAATGAGGTTGAAGTGTTTTTGTTGGGATCAATAGAAAATGGATCCCACTGGAGGGACAGTCACTATGTCTCCACTTATTTGTAAAAGGGTTTGTGAATTGAATCATAATGAAGTTCGGAAATGGAAGAAAAAACAAGGTTCAGTCTGTATTGCCTCATCCTACCCCAAAAGACTCAACTGCATAAGATTCATATATTTATTTATTAAGTGTTTTAAGTTTAATAAAGAGAAAGAGGTTTGAAAAGAGAGTCACTCGAAGAAGTCGAGGTTTATTATGAAACTGTTTAAAGTTTAGAAAACAAAGAAGGTTTTGAAAAAGATGAGAAGGTTTTGAAAATTAAATAATTTGAAGGAGATGAAGAGAGTATCCTATATACAGGACGGTAAAAGATAAGGTAAGGAAGGTCTGACCGAACATAAGCTCATACTTGATATAAAGAAATCAATATAACATTCCCATCCTTTTGGATTAAAAGCCATAAGCAGTTAAATAAGTCAAGAGTATACCAAACCTCAGGTGAAAATAAATCACACAAGCAGACATCATCAAAGACACCCTTGCGTCAGATAATACTCAAAGGAACGGGTAAAGTGCATCAGGTGAAAATAAACCACAACAGAGAATGCATTAGGTAAGAATAAATCACAAGCAGCGAATGCATCAGGTAAACTCAAGGTGTCATATAAAGCTCAAAGTATCATCAAGATATCAGATAAGAATCCTTGCATCAGATAAAACACAAAGACATAACCAGAATAATAGAGAAATAATTCGAATATCTCAGATAAGTCTCAATAGTAGGCTACGAGACCGGAATGGATTAAATTGAAAGCCACAAAATAAACCGGTCAATGGAGTCTATGCATCCATACGTATTTGAAAGCTAATATTTAAATTAGCTTGATAATCGCAATGCAATGAAGAAAATAGAAACACAACTTGAATTTATTTCCAAGTAAATCAAATAAAGTATAAAGCCAAAAATTCCATGTCTATTCTATTTGCATCACAAATATTAAACCAAAGAAAGGTGTATAAATTATTAACAATAGAAAAAAAAATTTGGAGGTGCATAATTGGAATGTTGGTGTAAATAAAGACTAAAAAAATTAAATTAGTAGATGTTACTATGATAATAAATTAAAAGCTTTTCAAATTTCCTCTGTGTTTGGAAAACCATGTGCACCAGTATTATGACTAAAAACCATTTCTCACCGATTAACCAATATGCTTGTGGTCTTGTTCCAATCATACACATTCAACACTAAAATAAATTTTACTAATCTTTGAAGGAGTCTATTTTAATATATAAAAAGTTACTACTACCTTTTTTTACAAATAATTTAAAACTAATTATTTTCTAAAATTATGGTTAAATAGGTCATTATTAATTTTTTAATTAAAATTAGTTCAGACATTTGGAATATTTTCTTCTTTTTACACACAAAATTAATGTGATTCTTGGCCACATCTATTATCAAATCTACTGATATAATTACTATCAACTTTACCTATTCCAACAATCCACATTAATTATTTCATCAATTAATTTTAGAAGTTGAAAAAAAAAAAACCTTATCTCACTCTTTCATTTCTTTTATCTTTTCTTCATTTTTGGAAAGACAACCAACACAAAAAATAGAACCATTAATTTCTCTCTGTTTCAGTTTTTCAAAGACACAGTAACACAATCAAACACCAACAAACAAACATACAAAATCAATACCCAAACTCAATAATCCTTAATTTCTCATTATTTTTCATAGGCTTTACAGAGTAAAAGATTTCAAAATAGAAATTATGTAAATTTGATTACAACATCATAAGACGAATGTTTAATTCTGGTTCCCCTTCTACCTCTTCTTCTTGACTCTTTTGATCTTCTGAGTTGTAGGTTAGTCGTGTGTTGTGTTGGTGTCTGCGTGAGATGTAGGACTCTGATGGCGTGGTTATATGAATTTATGCGGTAGTGAAGGGAAAATGCTAGGGGCTTCGAACAATACAGTGACGAAAATTTGTTTTGTGGTTTGTAAGTTTTTTCTTTTTTATTTTTATTTTTCACCTGTAGTTTGTATGTTTATTAATTACACATTCAGATTTACCTATGCCGACTAAAACAAAGACTGTCATCAAGGATGTGAAGATTGACCTCTCCGAAGACTACAATGGGTTCAATAACAAAAAAAGGATACTCACTAATCTCATTCTTTTGCAGAGGAAGTTTTAAAATTAGGTTATACGAATTTTAGACCGATAGCTTATGTTTCTATAATATCTTGCTAATTGCCATGAATTTCTCTATTCAATTTCATTATATTTGTCATTATGTTATAGGTGTAGACTGTTTTGTCCTTAATATACAAGTTTGTTAATGTCAAGTTCTTGGTTAAACTGTGGTCCACAATCCAAGAGGGTTATCAGACAATATATGTGACTTTTAAAGAAGCATAAAAGAATTATAGATGGTATACGAGTTTTGTTGATGTTTGAAGAGAGCTTTTAAGTTGGTAATGGTAATACAACTTTTATCTCTTTGGGGAAACATTAATTCCAAATAGATTAAATGTTTTGGAGAAGAGAAGAACTTTACACAACAACTGTCAACAATATCAAAATAATACTAAGACTATTGATAGCATTGTTTCCTATTTTACTCTCATAATAGCTTTTGATCTTTGATTTTTATTTATGAATTCCTAGTAGAACATACATTGCAAAATTCAATCTAAATTACAAATTGTAATTATTTTATGGGATTTAGTTTTGATTCCACAACCAATTTTAGTAAAGTTGACTATACACAGAATTGGAATCAGCTGACTCTCTCAATGATCAATGATTTTGGGTGTAGCATGGTTTTCATTTCTATTTTCTTCCAAGTGATGCTGATATTTGTTGTCCATAAATTTTTAAATGGAGTGATGTATAAATTTTTTACTGTTGTTTAACATATTAACAAAGTATTTGAATAAAATGCAGGATGAAAAGGGAACTAATTCAGTTAGTTGTATCCAAAAGTAAGAACTCAAAAAATATGAGATTTGAGAGTATTCCTCCATCTTATCATAACGAAACTATGATTTGGTTTTTCTAATCACATGTTACAAAAAGAAACTACTCAAAATAATAAGATAATATAAATTTCTGCTTTTTCTCTCTCTTCTGTGTTGCAAATGGGAAAAATAGAGCTTCTTTATTTATTATTAATATTCTCATTTATTTCTTTTACTATTAATAAATGTATTTAAAATATTATTTATTTAATTAATAAATTATTACTTATTAAAGTTGCATAAAAATATTCTACGAATAATTATGAGTTACTCACTATTTATTTAGTATTTATTCGCGATGGAGAATTGTTTATATTCACAAATTCAGATACTATGTACATGCTTCCTTCATTAATAATTTTTGTTTATATTTTATTTTTTTAAGGTTTCTTCATGATAATTGCATCAGATCTTAATTTTTATTTTAAATATTTGATGAGTTAATTAATATATATTTTCAACATTTGATTGATTTGAATTTATTAAGTTAAATTATTTTAACAATTTTGTTGCCCTTAGTAATGATACCCATTCTACATTTTACTCAAATGAAGATAATAATGTATTGGTAAAAGACAACAGTGTCAATATTATTTTTTAATTTCTCCAACAATAATTAATTTATTTTTGTTTACTTATAAAAACAAAATGATATTTATAAGAAAGGAAAATCCTAACTGAAAGACCATAACAAACTTATCATTTATCAATGAAGTTATATTTACAAACATTTTTTTTAATAAAACAACACGAAACAATACAAGTTTGACAAGATAATTTTGGTCATACAAAAATTGATTCAATAATTTTGGTCCTGCAAAAATTCATTCAATAAATTAGTTAAAAGTTAATTTTGGATTGTAAACAGTTATTTATATGAGATAAATATATTTTTTTAAATAACAAATATTTTTAAATAAAAA